CTTACCAACCAACCAACCAACCAACCAGCCAACCAACGTTGCCTCCATGTCTTCGTTTTGCATTTGGTCGGGCATCCGTCAGTCAGACCGGACACACAAAGCAGACAGACGGATGGACGGACAGACCCATAGTCAGTTTACATAGCTAGTCAGTCAGTCAGTCAGTCAGTTAGTTAGCTAGTTAGTCAGTCAGTTAGCTTGGCTTGGCTTGGCGTGGCCCAAACAAAAATAAAGAGAATGTTGTTATAAGTCGTCAAGCCATATCGATAAAGGCACATACTCTACCATATTTCAATGATAGCATGTAAAAGGCTTCTCTTGGCTTTAAAAATGTAGTGCAATGAAGATTTTCGACCCATTTGGCTTAAACTCATGTTAAACGAACTAATTATGAATTTGGCAAGTTCTGTTAAGTTCCGTTTTTGGATATTATCATGACCGATATAAACAAAAAAGCAATTGATTGCACATTAAATTTGCAGCTTAAGCCCACTAAAGATTGATTGATTGATTCTTACATCAAGCGTTTACTCGAACTTATTGTTAAAACGGAATTGTAACGAAATCTTGAAACACAGTCGAAGATTTTGGAAGATTTTGATTCTTTAAGATTCTTTTGGCTTAAGCCCATGTTATGTTTATAAATCAATTATCAATTTTGCATTTTGTAAGTGCCGTTGACTTTCGTTTCCAGGATATTATCCGATATAAAGAATGAAAGAATATAATATCAAGCCGATTAAAGATTTCTCTTTTCGCGCAGACGATAATAGAAGGATTCTTACATCAGGCATTTACTCGAAGTTTTTTTTAAAGCGGAAGTGTAACGAAATCTTGAAACACAGTCGAAGATTTTGGAAGTGGAAATATATTCCCTTTTGGTTTAAACCCATGTAATTTTTATGAATCAATTATCCATTTTGAATTTTTTAAGTTTCGTTTCCAGGATATTATCCGATATAAAGAATGAAAGAATATAATATGAAGCCCATTAAAGATTTCTCTTTTCGCGCAGACGATAACAGAAGGTTTCTTACATCAGTCATTTACTCGAAGTTTTTTTAAAGCGGGAGTGTAACGAAATCTTGAAACACAGTCGAAGATTTTGGAAGTGGAACACAACCTATGTTATGTTTATATGTAAATCAATTATCCATTTTTATTTTGTAAGTTTCGTTTCCAGGATATTATCCGATATAAAGAATGAAAGAATATAATATCAAGCCGACTGAAGATAGCCTTTTTTGTTTTTTTTACATTAAGCTTTTACTCGAAGTGTTTCTTGGACACACAGAACCATGAACCTTCCTCTAGTGTAGTGCATCATTTCAGGGTATAATGGACTTGCAGGTAGACGAGTTTTTCAGACGGAGCTTATTTTCATATTAGCAATGTATACAAACGATTTTGTTTGCGACTGGCAATTTGTTATGAGCCCCACCCACAACAAGGTTCCAACGTTGTCGGGCTAGCTGCCTGTCTGGCTGGCTGGCGGACTGGCTGGCTGTCTGGCTAATTCTAAATATTAATCAGCGCTAATGCAAGCAGTTAATCGTTTCAAAATGCACTTTACACGCCTAATTTCAAGTTTTATCACACGCAGCTGCAGCGGTCGCAGTTTTATGTGCGAAGTGAGCAGCCAATGACACCCAGTGAACATAAATATATCAGAGCGGCAGGGAGCTGCTGCTGCTGCTGCTGCTACAGATACTAATTGGTAGCTGTTGCCTTGTCTAGGGTTGCACAGGCAAGGTGGAGCGCTGCAACAATATACATGGGCACATGCAACAATAATATTAAATCAATTCCCTGGAAAGCGAACGGGCGGACACTTAACTCGCTCTCCGCTTGCTCAGGCATTCGGGGCACTTCTGTACTTCCATACTTCTGTATTCTTGTATTCTGTATTTTTGGCTGCAGCCACGAGAAACATGATTGAAATTTTGAATATTGTCGCCCCGGTTGTTCGATCGCTTGCCCGCCTGCCTCTCTGCCTCTCTGGCTGTCTGGCTGTCTGGCTGCCCGCTTGCCTTGCTGCCAGACATGACACTCATGTGGCATTAAATGCGATTAAATTGATTCCTACAAATGCAATCAAATTGCCGAGCTTATGGCTCGCTTTTGATTTTTATATGTCTACACGTCACCTTTGCCTGTCGTCCCATCGGCCTGCCGGCCTGTTGCTCAGCAAGGGCATGTAGCTGGTTGTCGGAGAGGGGGACTGGGGGACTGGGGGAGATGTTGGGTCGCCTTCAAGCTTTGCCCACCCATTGACGGATTGTCCGTGCAACTTTTATTGCACTTGAATATGCGTTTTTGTACATTTGTCGCTGTCTGTGGCCGTCATAAAAGTTGTTTTTATTGTTTTATTATGTGCATCATCATCCATGGGGCTTTGGAGCAGAGCAGATCTGAGTAGAGCTGAGCAGAGTGAAGCGGAGGGGGCGCTTTGGGAGCAAGTTTTATGTGCATTTAAGCCAATTTTAGCGATTACAGCTTCACGCGCTCGCCGTGTTTATTTGCAGCTAACAAAACATAACACTTGGCCGTGTTAAGCCTTGGGAAGATGCTCATACATGATATTCGGCGGCCATGAAAACCATCTTTATCTGCTTTGGGAATGTTTTCGTAAATAGACAATCAATGGCAGTTTTTAATGTGCAGGCTCCGGGATTTATGACTATACAGCAGGCGAAGATAGGCCACGACAAACTTGTTCAAGTCTAGGGAGACGCATAAAACTATCACCTTATACGAGGAGTACGAGTACCGTGAAGTAAGGTGACACTGAAGACCATGAATAAGTCTATACTCATACTTAATTGAAATCTAAAAATGCTCTATTAGCCAGAATGATGAGAGCAGTAGCAATACTTGATCATAGTCAGCAAAACCACTTAAATATGAGCAAACGGTTGAGGGAGGAGACTGGCGGGATGCAGCAGCTCATTAGGCTATTGGCTAGAACCGGGGAAATACGGAAATATTCGGGATCTGAGGCAATGTGGCAGTCTTTCTTTTTCAGAAATTGACAGGAATCTAGGGGCTTATGGGCTGGAGCGTCCCCTTCTTACTTAGAAACTAGCCATTACAACAGTCCCGCCCATAACATAGCCCTCTCCAGAAATACTTTTACTATATGCCAACAAGTATAAGCGAAGTTGTAATCATATTCCTTGATTATCACAAGACACCTCCTATTAATGGCAAACATCTGCACAGAAAGGTAACAGAAGTACTGACTGCGTCATTTGGGAGATGTGAACTAGCGTTGGATGTGAATCACTATCTCCAACTCCGTAGCTCGTATATCCCTGGCCCCCATCGTTTCAAGTATAGCCAGAATAATGAGCCGCACATAGAGCGTTATGATTGCTGGCAACAAGTGTTACTAAGAATCAGACAATGGCTCTCAAATGTTTCTAATTAAAAAACGAAACCAAGCACACACACACACACAGAATACAATATACTCATATAAAGTATTTTTAGTCATAATGTTGCACAGGCAGCTGCTGCTTGCTCCTACTACCTTGACGCAACGTTGGCTTAACTCGCCATGAAGTGTAATGTGACCGATCGGAACAACAAGCGCCCGCATAAAGCGAGCGTATCGAGAGATGCCTACAGTGATGGGGCCCGGGTGCGCCTGCTGCTAACTAATCATAAGCATTTGGCGATGATTTAGTGTCGCCGACTGAGACACACACTTGCCCCAGCCGGCCAGACACGTGTGTGTGTTTATGTGCGATGCAATGCCACCAGCCTTCACAGATGACAATGGGTGGCGGCATCCTTTCAAGCTGATTTTTCACACGCCAGCAGTTGTTTATACCACGTACTATTTCAATGAGCCGCAATGATTAGAGGCCTGACGGGGCTGGTCGTCCCCAAAAATTACCCCATTTTTGGGCTTAGTTGCGTCCCATAACTCATTGGGCCGTAGCTTTTTTACACGATGCGACGCAACACTTAGCAGAGAGAAAGGGAGAGAGCGAGAGAGAGAGATAGAGAGAGAGTCCGTGCAAACAGCGCTCCATTAATTAAGTTGCAAGCACTAAGTCTTAAGCAATCACCCCCTGCACCACCCCCAACCCTGCAGTACCAGGTAGCCGGCATGCATTGAGCATTTAATGCTGTTTACTTTGTACGGCGCCCGTCGCTGGAAATGGGAAAGGGCTGTTTGTTGCACCCTTTGGCTTGTTGGCACACTTTGGCGTAATTACCATGGCACTTCACACAGTTAATTGCGAGCAGGGAGAGCGGGAGGGTTCGGGTGGTCGGTCTACTGCACTCAATTTATTGTTTCATACTGTTGCTGGTAGTGTGCCCCATATGTTGTTGTTATTGTAACCCGTGCCCATATCGCTGTGCCAGCGCCTCTGCCTGTGCCTGTGCCTGTTGTTGTTGATTTTAGCAACTTTATTGACATTTAACACGTCGAGTAGCAGTTGCCCTCTAAATGAGGGATGGCTTGTAGTTCGTAAATAAGTTAACAACAGATGTTAACATCAATTTTATTAATAAACAATGAGGTCTGCATCAGCATTTGGCTTAGAAAGTGAGAGATGTTTGATAAATGTTTCAATTGAAGTGTATGCTCCAGCATGCTATGATGAATTTTTCAAATACTGCTTAGGGTTATCTGCCAATTTAAAATGAAAATTTCTTCACAACTCCCAAAGTTAGAAAGCATACCTCACCCAACCATAACCAACACTTACGAGCGAAAAAGCGACCATAATGAGAGATAATGAAAATCTTTGGCGCATATAACACAACCAGCCAGGGCAAGCATAGTATTTTGACAATCTCAAGAGTACAAGAGAATTCCAGAAAATGTTGCACACACAATTAACAATTTAACAAATAACTGAGGTGGCGTTCGTTTTTCATTCAGGATAATTGCATTGAATATCGATTTTCTTTTCTTTTGCACATGACACATCAATTAATTGTTCAAAGCCGAAAAAATCACAAATCCTCCATGCTATTCTCACCTTAGCCAATGGGCTTATCCATTCCTTGCATGTTTCCACTAGGAGGTCTGTTGAATGTCCTCCTGGAGGCTTCCTTTTGCACACACACGAGCCAATGCCTGCCCTATGGTTGGGGCAGGAACACATAACACATATATTAATATTTTATATTAATATTTTGTAATCCACGTAAGTGTAGACGACTTCCACGAGAGTTAAAAAAACAGTATTCAAACTATTTAACAAATTTTAAATCTATTTAAAATTATGCTTACAATTTTTAATTGTTTTCACTTCTCAGTCCCAACGAACACCGATATTTTTCACTTCGAAAAATACCTACCTATGACAATTTCCGAGAAGTGAAAAGCAAGGACTACTAAGCACACTATTTATACCCTTAACCCAAAGGGTAAGAGGGTTTTATTATTTTAAATTGTGAGCTATTTATTATTATGAATTTCTTTTGTTTAATTTAAATATCTATTTTATTCGGATAGGCTTTCACGCAGAACCATCTCTGATTCATCCCTCCCTGAATCCAGGCTTTGGCTTTCGTAGTTGCTGTTAGTCTTGTTATTAGTTGAGAGTCACAAATGCTTCTACTTTTTATTAAATTTGGAGTCAACCAAAAATGGCAGCTAAGGCTTTTCAAGTACACTGATGACATATTATGGGAAAGGAGGGATCGGCGTGTCCCACTTATGGTGGCTATAAGAAGTATAGGATTATTGATGACGCACTGATCAAGTATTTTAGTCTGAAGGAACTTAAGGGTATGTACTTTTAAAAAGGAAACACTTCAATTGGCCGCCAGTTTTTACTGTGAACTGTAATCTATGTGAATCATAACGATTGGAAAAATGCCTCAATTCATAATTTATAATAAGATTCTTCTTTCTGCTTGACTTTTCTGTGTTGCTGGATACATCAGACAACGGAAGTCTTTTTGGTTTACAATTTCAAATTGCCGCAATGTAAAGGATATCTAAAATGCCTCCTTTTCTTCACTTATCTGTGTGTATTACTCAAAAAAATAAGCAGATTGCCAAGAATACAGCAATGATAGCCACAGGAGCTTCTGCATTCTCTGTTATAGTCTAACCTTGAGCTCTTCAGCCAAGTTTGTTGTGCTGCGATGCCTGTGCTACTTTTTAATTTAAAAATAAGAAACCTTGAACTTTTTCTGCTTGTCTGCAAATTGCATACCAATAAAAATAAAACTCGATGCAAATATCAGTAATCAGCAGATCGCAGCTCAAGTCGAATCCGTTGCACAAAAAGCCAAAGAAGAGGGGGAAAAATATGCAACTGGCCAAAACAACTTCATCAAAGCAACAACAATGGCTAATGAGCAACGGCAACAGCAAAACGGCAAAAGTATTTTCATTTGAATCTTTGTTAATAAAACCATCAAAGACATTAAACGTTGTGGGTGCCATTCATTTGATTGAACTTTGACACCCAACAGATGCAAATTACGGCACAGCAACAGCTTTGACCATTGGCTGCCAAAACAGTCTTTAAAATAAATAACCAACTGCAAATAATAACAATAATAATAATAACCACAATAATAATGCAGCTGATGCCGCAAACGCGATATGAAAAGCAGCGTCTGATTCGCGCTTACTCGTATTTTTCTTACTCATGATGGAAAATTGCGCGGCCATGGCGCATCTACCGTTTTAAGCTCTTTTTTCATCTGACGCGACGGCACAACTGCCTGACTTTGTTGCGCTTTTTGGCCAAATTGTGGCAAGGCCTGCACGTGCTCGCTGGCCATTGTTTTTATTTCTTTATGGCTGTGGCGTGAATTGCACAATCAGCTGGGGGCGACAAATCCAAACGGAAGAGCTTTAATTCCAATTCTAATGCGGTACTTGACTGATTGATCGGATCGGCTAAAACATTTGACATATCTTTTAAATTGCATTTTGCAATCAAGAAGAATTGTGGGCTTTTAAAATATTGTGCGATTACAACTAAGTTATGCGCTTTTAAAATTTAGGACTAAAGCAGCTCTTTGATTCCAGTCATCATATTACAAATAACCCATTATGGTAGGCTTGAAAGCGACTGTGAAATCTATTTTCGAAAGCGAATCACACATTCCGCATCTATGTACTAGAATTGATCACTTTTGCCTTTTACCTTTTAAGCTAAAAATGTAAATGCACATATTGGAACTATGGGGTTCATAAAATTTAATTTATTATTGCAAGCTCATCAAAATAATTCGCTGTCAGCATAGGTGTATTTAAACTACACTTTTGAAGCACAATTTATAGGAGTACTTGCGCATTAGCGTTGGCAACTGAGATATAGGAATATGAAATTTACATTTAATTATTATTAGTCAATTACTAAATTACTTACCTCGTCCTAGTACAAATGTGATTCCTTGCATTTCATTTCACATTTTCTTCTGTGAGGAAAGCGATTTTCATTCCCATCACAGCCCCCATAGATGAATTTAACGCACTTATTCGTTGATGTGTCGTACGACCATGAAACAAAATAGCCAAAGCAAGGACCAGATTCTTGTGGCAAGCCGCAGATTGCTGTAGAATTTAAAGCTCAAAATAAGCCAACCCGTGGGAAATCTGTTGTTCAAACTTACAATCCTTTAAGCCCAGCAATATGCCCAAGAGTGAAAGGAACACGGAAAAAGTAAAAATGTATCTCATTGCTTTGAATATATTTGATATTAAAACATTTTTATTACTACGTATATCAGGCACTCTTGCAATTATATGTGGTTCGAAACTGATTTGTCATGCCTGCTAAATATGTCACGGGCTTTTAGTTCAGCCCCTTATACACATACATACTACGTTTATTATAAAGCTGAGCTTTCGAATAACTGTTAACCATTTTTCCCAACAATATAATGAACACTCCAAAGACACAGAATAAAGAAAATCAAATGATAAGAACAAATAAGTCATACACTTACATGCACGCACACAAACGCAAAAGACTTTTGTTTTCTCTCTTAGGACGAAACGTTCAGTAAATAATCAGATCAAAAGGGAAACAAAAAACTGGTTCTTGGTTGAACTGAGAACGATTTATTCAAAAAACGTAGTGAACGGTTCTGTTGTGACTATTTTCCAAAAAGGTTCGTAAATAACAGTTATTTTGTGACCTAAAGAAACGGTTAACATTTATTTGCGAGCTCTGTTATAAAGTCTTCTCTAATGCATGATATGTAAAGAGAGGTAAAATCGATCCTAACATTTTTTTTTAAATCCCTATAATTATTGTACACATATGTACAGAGTATTTCAAAGTCGGGATACCCGACTTTAGCTTTCTCACTTGTTTTTTTTTTAATGCAGCCATTCCTCCGGGCTCAACTGACTCAACTCTGTACTGCACACAAGCTCACACACCCGCCAGTATAGACCCACTTATCCACAATTCCTACATTCCTACATGTTGTTGGAGCAATTTAAAATTTCTTAATTTTTAAAAAATTTCTATAATTATTCGACATATATTTACAAAGTCGGTACTTTAGCTTCTCCACTTGTTGTTTCATAAACTTTTGCAACTTTTAGCTTCGGGATCTCACAAAAAGAGAAAAAAAGAGACTTTTGTTGTTGCTCAGCAATATGAAGTCGTATTTTATAATTTTTTTGTGCAATTCACACACGTTGATCAGAAACCATGCACCTTTTTATCCTTCTGGGTGAAGGCTATACAAGTCGGAACAACTAACGTTCGACGCTTTTGCGACATTCCAAATTATAGTTGCTCCACAACAACATTCTGTTGGCCAGTTTTTGGCGGCAATGGGAAACTTTTAATATAATTTTGCTGCTGCTGCAGTTTTCATTTAATTTAACATTGTTTTTATTTTCTGTTATTGGGAGCCCTCGGGGTACTATATGTCTGTGTTTTTCATGTTTTTTTTTTTTTCATTGTTTGTTAGAGAGAGGGGGTGCGGGTGGGGGACAATCGCTGCCAAAATGTGCCGCTTTGATTGTTCATGATCAATTTTAATTTGGCATTGTTGCTGCTGCTGCAGTTGTTGTTGTTGCTGTTGTTGTCGCTGCGTCGTTGACTGTTATTGGCGGCTGTACTTTGAGATCGTTATAATTTAGCCGCTGGCGCCGCAGTCGCCGCCATCGCCACGTCCATCGCATCGAGTGGGTGGGTGCCGCAACACTGGCGCTTGCGGTTTTTCAGCTGTGTGTTAAGTTTTTATTTGATTTAAAATATAATTTTATATAATCATGGTACGTCGAACAGTTGTTGTTGTTGCCGCTGCTGCTGCTGCTTCCAGCGTCAATTAAATGCACGTTTGGGCTTTGGGTCTCGCTTATTTAAAATGCCGTTTAATGTAATTTGTTATTAGGTTTCTGTTTGTTTTTTGTTTCCCCCCGCTCTTTTTAATTATTTCGCCTCGGCAAACGTGAGAACTGAAGGTCTTTTAACCGACGGAAGCTAAGAACAGAAAAACGGATTAAAATTGTTTACAATTTATAAGGCACTGAATAGGATTTAGAACGTTCGTAGCTAATTCTTTATTTTATTTATTAATTTTCTTATTTAAAATTAAATATTCGTATACGTCAATATTTCAATATTTTTTGAATGTTTGCTTTATTTGATGACTGAAATCAATTCAGCTGGCGTCCTAATACAAGTGTGCTATTAATAGAAAACCCATCAACTGCCTTTGAATGTGAACAACCCTTCCATAGACTGTAGTTCCGACGGAGCCAAAAACTTCCCCTAACCAACAGGTGTGAGTTCCGTTCATATACTCATCAAATCTCAGCACACAATACCCAAACGCGTGTTCAACTTGTGCCATCGTTAGTCAAAAATAGCAGGGCAGCACGACACCAACAACAACAACAACAAACAACAAATATAGCCAGAGTAGCAACAACTCAAGTGACACCTTTCGCATCTGCACAATTACTGTACAAAGTATCAGATTTCTGTAGGAGCAGGGCAGCAGCCGCCATACTCACATCTCAGACCTTGCACCGGCACCACCACCACCACCACCACCAGCAGCAGCACCACCAGCACTAGCACTAGCACCAGCACCAGCACAAAACATAAGCAAAACTCCTTTCTTTTATGCGCCACTGACAAACGGCACATTGCACATGTCCATGTGCATGTCCTGACTTGGTGTCACAGCATACAGTGGGATATTTCCGTAATCGAAGCCGGCAAAAACAAAATATTTTACTAAACTCGTATATCAGCAAGTAGTTTAAGTTACGGAATGAATTGAGAAATTGTGCTTGAAACAAAATCTTAATGCATTCGACTTACTGTCGATAAAATCAGGCATTACCCTTCAGGTCTTT